GGGCTCCAGAAGTCCAGCCCCTGTAGTCTTTCCAGCCAAGGGCCTGGGCACTTTGCCCACCGAGTAAGTTCTGATGTCCAACCGCTAGACTGCAAACCTGAGCCCATCAATGCTCTGCTTTTCCTGATAGGCACTTTGAGAGCCTCAAATTCAGCTGTCTGGGCACCAGCAGGCCAGGCTGAGGAGAGCAAGTGTGGGACCTCCTTCCCCATGCTCTGGTTTTTAATCAAAACAGTGTTCAGAAGATGATTTGGGGAGATTACATTGGGAGATTTGCACAAGGCTGTCTGTGGGGTCTGAGGTGGGGGTACAGATTGCTGCTGGGGGTCTGGGGCTGGGATAATCGCAGGCTCAGGCTTGCCACTCTCAGGCACAGTCCCCTGCACCCTTGGAGGGCACTGTCAGGCATGCAAACAGCATCATCGAGCGAACTGGATCATCCCTGACTTATTTTACTGGGGAAACTAAGACCAGAGGACCAGGGCCTGCTGGTGGCAGGGATGGAAGTGAGATGGGAAAGGAAGGCAGTCTCTGCATCGCTGGAGACGCCTTTCAGCAAGTCTCCACTCGCTGCTGCCTCCAGACCTGAGGACTAACCCAGGCTGTGGGTTGCCCTTTGGGTTGGGAAAGATGGGGGAGATGTTGGTTTTCATCCCACAGCTACAGAGACCAGCTCTGGAGGCCTTGGGTGGCCAGATCAGCAGACCAGGGACCCCCTCCTAAGGTGCACTGTTCCTATTGGGGGCTGACTGGCCAGTGTGGTGGGACCAGACCAGAGAGGAGAGACCATCAATCTGCCTCCGCTGACTGTCTTGCTTCCTAATCCCTGTCCAGCAATGCCATCATGGGTGTTGCTGGTCCCCTTTTCTTCTGGGGGCTCAGTTTCCCACCTGTACCAACTGGGAACTCCTTTCTGGCTTCTGGCTGGATTCTCTGAACAGCACCCAAAATGGGAGCCCTAGGAACTGTGCCTAAGGAGCCTCTGGAGGGGTGTACTTAGCCCCCAGAAGGGGGTGGAATTGAGGGCGCCTTGAAAGAAACCTCCAGCTAATGCTCTTTATTACAAGCGTTAATCCCGCAAAGCCGACTGGAAATAATGTTTATCTTTTCACAGTTTAATTTCCCAGACCTTAAGCCTGGGATCAGCCAGGGCTACCTGAGGGTCTCCTGGGAGGGTAGGGGTAGGACCAGCTGTTACCCAGAGGAAGAGAAGGAGGGGAGCACACACCGGAGGAGGGTGGACCCCAATGAGACCCTGGTGTCCTGGACCAGAGTCCCGGTGAGGTGACCCTGAGCCAGTTCGGGGCCCTCCCACCTGGCCCTTTTCCTCATCTGAGAAACCTTTGCGGTTTTGTAATTCATGATCTCTGAAGACCTTTAGGGAAGGACCCCTGGTGGTGCAGTGGTGAAGCGCTCCACTGCAACTCCAAAGGTCATTGATTCAAGCCACCCCAGGCTCTCCACGGGAGAATGATGGGGCTTCTCAAAGATTCCTTTTGGAAACCTCCAGTCCATAGGTCTCTATGAATCAGAACCCACTTGACTCAATGTGTTTGTTTCCGGTTTTGTTTTAAAAGCCCCATTCACATTCAGATATTCCATTGAAAAAAAGATGGGTTTTCCAATCCCTCCAGCCACTCCACCCCCCCACTACCCTCCTTCTTCTACCCTTATCCTCTCACCCCACCCCAGCCCCTCGGGCTCTTACATTGTCCTCCTGAGCAAGAGGATCTTTCCGCCCCAGACTTGTCAGTGAGGTGTCACCCATCAAGCTGACCCAGGAGGTGAGGCTCCCCAGGAACCCAGCCCTTAGCCACACACCCCATCTGGCCTCTGGCAGTATGGGCAGCACCCCTCCCTCATCCCTTTTGGCAGAGGGCGGCAAACCAAGCCTCTGAGCCCCTGGACGCTGGACTCCGAAAGAGCAGGCTCCTCCACAGGGACATCTTTAACTTTCAACAGCTAGCATCCCGGCTCCCTCCCGCCGCTGCTCCCCCCCGCCCCCACCCCGGAAAATACCCCTCGACAACCTCTTTAGGCATGTACCGAAGTGAAGTGCTTGATTAAACACAAAGAAGATTGAGTCTCCCAGAGCCTCTGGCCCACACTGCAAGCTGACCAGACGTTAGACGTCAAGTCCGTGGTGAGGGACACAGTGGCTCCAGCAGGTGCCAAGAGATGGCCCAAATAATCTCCTTCGCGTACACCTCCCACAATAAATGGGTGCAAGCCAAGTACAAGCCCAGAAACCATGCAGCTTTCAGACAGACATCCTCCCTAGAGCTGCGCCACCCCCACTTCTGCCGCCCTGAGGCCAGCAGGTACCTCCCTGGCCAGACTGGTGGCTTACACTGCCCCTGAGCAGCTCAACTGTGTGCTTCCTGGCTACTAGAAGGGACCTTGGTCTACAACCCTCCACGCCCAGTTCCCCCAACCCTGGGCCTTATTCCACTTCACAGATAGGCCACAACGCACGTGTTCTGTTCTGATAACTTTTAAAGACACAGGGGTGGAGGGCAGGAGACACAAGCGGTCCTAGGGGACCTGGACAATCGCAAGCAGTGAAGTTGGGGAGGGAGTTGGGGAGGCCGGCAGGATGAAGGGCAGGGCAGAGGAAGAGCAAGCAGAAGCACCTCCAGGTCCGGATTCGCAGGGAGGGAAGGGGACCGGGAGGTAGCCTTAGTTTGGACGCCCCACTTGGGCTTTTCCCAATCTCCCATCACTTGTGGGATCTGAGATGGTGCAAGCCCACCACTACCCCTGCTGGGAGGGTTCTGTGTGTTGGTCTCTTCAGGTAAGACTCCCAGATTCTTGGGCGCATCGTGCAGCTTCTTGGCATTGAGATGATGAGTCTGAGAAGCGGAGCTTAAGTCTTAGAGTCTTCTGTGAGTGGCAGCCATTGCGCTAGCCTGCTGAGAGAGGAAAAGGTTGATTAGAATCCAAAGGCTTCTTCTTGGTGAAGCACGCAGGCACGCAGAGGTCAGCCCGGCCCCTTAAGGGAAGCGAAGGTCTAGAGGCAGTTCCTCACTAGAGAAAACATTTGGACGCCATTATGTGTGCATTCAAAAACAGTGTAACCCAATTTTCTAAACTGGCAGTTAATCCGGAGAGAAATTACTACAAAGGGCAGGATTTGACCTTGACTGCGGGCTGATGCTTGGGGGATGTCCTTGGGTGTGGGGGTAGGTGCAATGACTTTTCTCTAGGACCTAGCAGAGCAGGGAAAGCCAGCTAAGGACTGGGACACTCTTGACACTCACCCCTCTTTCACGTGAGTCCTTGGGGGAGAAGTGCTCTTGGGGGAATTGGGGCAGAGGGTGGAGGGGCAGGGACAGAACAGTGCCAAGCCCAAGACTCCCAGAGAATTGGTGCAAGGGGCCTGTCAACCCTCTGAATTTTAGTGGACTTGGATGTCAAGTGGACTTAAACCCAGAAAGTGCCTGGTACCTCCATTCACAATTCTCAGGGAGCCCTGGCCTGACCTGACCTAACAACCTTTTGGGACAAACCAGGCTTCTATGAAGAGCAGGCTGGGGACACCAGCATCTGGAGGGCAGGGCTGTGTCCCTCTTATTTAATGACATTCCAAGTGATCCTGGATCACTGTATTCCTCTGAACCCATCCTCCTCCTTTCCTTTCAAATAGAGGGCAATGGACCTTTGATCTCTACTTTGGTTTTTCAAAGAGTGCTGAGGAACAATTGAGAGGGCCAGAATGGCTGTGTGTGTGTGTGTGTGTGTGTGTGTGTGTGTGTGTGTGTGTGCAGGGCAGTAGGAGAGTGTCTTTTGGGCAGCACGGTTGGGAGCCCACTACCTTCTGCTCCAGACGGGTACCGGCACTGCACCGCAGGCTCCCTCCGCTGCGGGCAGGGCGCACAGCCCAGCGCCAGCTCCCGCAGGGCAAACGTGGCCTTTCCAAGGACTTTGGCTGTGCGCGGAGACTCGTCGCACGCAGAGTCACTGGGGATTATAAATCGCCCGCCCGAGCCTGGGGGCTGTCCGGGAATCAAGTGGCACTCAGGACTTCTTGGCCTGGGCCGGGTTGGGAGTGCACCTTCCACAGCGTTGGCCGCGGCTGTGTGCGCCAGCGACCAGATTCGCGGTTTCTCGCTGCACGCGTAGTGCGTGGTCAGCATAGGCCCTCCGGGTTCCATCCCCAGGAAGTCCACCTCGCCTGGCCCTGGAGGCTCACTGAAGGCGAAGCGGGGCGCCAGCAGACCGCACTCCCTGCGCTCCAGCCTCCGCTCGCGGAGGGCGGCGCAGGGCTCCGGGGCGCCTTTGCGGAACTCTGCCAGCCGGTCTGCGGCTCGGGCCACTGCTTCCTCTTCCTCAGCCTCCTCCTCTTCCTCCTCTTCCTCCAGGTCTTCCAGGTCACTCAGTCGGAGCCCCCGAGCCTCCGGACAAGCAGTAACATCTGCAGGAAATTAGGAATGAGTGAGAAAAGCCCCAGCCCCCAAGGGAAATCTGCCGGAGTGCAGGAAGCCAAAGAAGCCAGCTCACTGGGTCAGCCAGGCCAGCTCAGGTGAGCGCTCCAGGGGAAAGAATTCCTGCCCTTAGCCCAGCTCCACCCCTTCGCTGGCTCCCCATGTCTGGAATGCCCCAGACCCTCCTCTTAGATCTCCCTTTTTCTCCATAGTTAAGCAAACAAACAAACAAACAAACAAACAAACAAAAGATGTGGAGAACTTGGAACCCTCATATACTGCTGGTGGGGTTTCGGAATTGTGCCTCAGAATGGCGCTCCCTTAAACAAATATGAACAGAAACACCTTAGGGTCCAGCAACCCCTCTGCTCCATCTAGACCTCAGGTTCAAGAACAAAACGCAAACTGATACATGTGCCCGATGGTTTCTCACGGAGCCATCCACCATAGCCCAAAGCTGGGAACAACCAATCTGGGCAAATAAACTGCTGTGCGGGGCACGCCATGGAGTACTATGCATCCCTGAAAATTGATGCGATGAAATCACCTCATTTCATGGACGAATTTGGAAGAACGTTTTGCTCTGCTAAGTTCGTCAATCTCATAAAGACAAACACTGTTATAAAAGAAAAAAATCAAGAGATGGTTTTCACAGCAAAACTAGCAGACTGATGAGATGGAAAGAAAGACTAAAATAAAGTGGTTAAGGAATAGGAGCATCCAAAGGTGCCTGGAGCTGTATTATTTAATTCAGCAAATATTTAGTGAGTGCCAACCAGGCACCAGCCATCATTAAGGTCTTTGGTATTTGAGACCCCAGCAGTGTAGTTGACATTCTGAAAGGGTTAGTCCTTCTCTGTCCTGACCATGCGATAGAACAACCTAGACAAGGGCCCTTAGGAGGTGAAATCTCAAACTGAAAAGAGGCCAGTTTGGTCACAGCTTTCAGGCACAGTCCAAGGCCCTAGGGTGTGCAGGGAATGTGAATGCTGAGGTGAACAATAAATAGGCAAACAGCAAAACCCATTGCCATCCAGGGAGTTCTGACTCCTAGTGACCTTTTAGGACAGGGTAAAACTGCCCCACTGCATTTCCTAGGACTGTACATCTTCACTGAAGCAGACTGCCACATCTTTCTCCCCAGGTGGCTGGTGAGCTTGAACCTCTGGCCTTTGGGTTAGCAGCAAAGAGCTTTAGCCCTTGTGCTAGTCCAGAACAAGCCAGCTCTCTCTCTCTCTCTCTCTCTCTCTCTCTCTCTCTCT